AGCACTCAATTATACGGAGCTACAATACGTGGACTTCTGCGAGGAGCATCATGACATAATCAGATCGCCACACGTAAGCGCTTGTTAACATTATTCACTAATAAGTTAGAAGAATCAATAAGAGGGATCAAGGCAGATGAAGTAGAGGAACTTTCAGTCGCGTTTGGAACTTCACAAGAAGAAGGAACTGAAAAGATCAGTAGGGTGCAAAATGCTATAGGTTCAATAGAGACCATAATGACCAAGAAGATTTTGAGCAGTACTCAAAAAGAGCGGAAACCGCAATATCAAAGGCATTTGATTTAGTAGTCTTCTTGCAAAGCCGCCTCCACGATTTCTCGCTCACAACACGAGATGATCAGGCAATCCCCATGAACTTGGCGCAAGCTTCTCCTAAAGCAGTACCAATACCAGAGAGTCCCGTACAGCCCAAAGCTATAGAGTTACCACCGCTTCCCATTCCAACCTTCGATGGGGATATATGGGAGTGGGATAACTTCTGGGAGATTTTCGATAGCAACATCAATTCGAAGGACCTCCCCTGAGATGGTTAACGTTTACAAAAAACCCTTTTTAAAACCTGTTGAATGCATTGAAAGGAGAAGCACGGGAAGCCATCGTCAAGTTCAGAGTCACTAGCGAGAACTATTCCAAAGCTATATCATGTCTTTTCAAAAAATACAATAACAAGGAAACACTGGTAAACCATTTAGTTGAGCGGCTAGAGTCTTGCACTCTGAGATCCCCATCAATGAAGGACCAGCGCTCCCTTTCAGAGCAACTTCAAGCCATTATTGTTCAGCTAGAGGACAAGGGAGAAAACATAAACAGCTCATGGTTCATCAGGAAGATACTCGCTAAGTTTCCTGACTCTACTAAACGGAAGGTTATAAATAAGAAACAAGGACTGACAGAAACAACATTTACAATGGGACACCTTTTTAAATTCATAGACGAAATTCTCTCCAACGGAGGAAGCATTCCTGTCATTCGCCGACAAGAACCCCATTGTACCAAAAGGACGCAACTTTTACGGGAAATCAAGCATTACGCACGCAAAAGTTGGACCTAGGTGCATGTACTGCAGAGATGAACACTCTTCGATGAACTGCACGAAGTACCCTACACCTCAAGACAGGTCATCTTACTTACGGCAGAATAGACTTTGCCTCATTTGTGCATCAGCTAATCATGCAACACATCAGTGCAAGGGGTCGCCTTTGTTTCAATTGCAATGGCCCACATCATACCTCGTGTTGCTTCAGACCAAAACCACTCTCGGAATCGGCATCAACGCCTTCGAACAACAAGAGTTCGTTGGCAAACAAGACCAGCATCTCGAATGGAGGTTTCAGGAAGAAGAATGACAGTTCAAAGATGAAATTCAACAAGGGCTCACAAAATCAGATTCACTCGAATGCTATATTTACTCAGGAATCAGAAGATAGTCCACCACAAGAACACACGCAATACTTTTCAACACAAAGGGTGTTGAACACGCAAAGCTCCTCGACATCCTTATTTACCCACAGGGGAAGTCACAGTGCTGGATCCCAACAGCGGAGCTCTGATCAAAGTGAATGTTCTTTTCGACACCGGAGCCGAGGTGTCATTCATTGACAGTAACCTGGCCAAGAAACTACGACTCCCAGTTCTTGACGAAAAGAACATCAGGTTGAACACCTTCGGCACAAAGGAGGTAATCGAGCGAAGGTGTCAAAGAGTACGAATGGAGATGTGGGATGAAGACGGAAACCCACATTCTCTGGAGTTACTCACACACGATATTCTTACTCATTCAATAGTATCGCCATCGTTATCAAGTCAAGATCAGGAATTCCTACGGGATCTTAATTTTCCAGTCAAGGGGAAACAAGAAAGAAGAATCATCCAGCCATCCATTCTCTTAGGATGCGACTTGTTATGGTCCTTTGTGAGGAGTGATATACCTCCACTTGCACTACCGTCCGGACTACATGTTCTACCGACAAAATTGGGCCACTTGATCTGTGGCAAATCTAAAATAGGAGAAGAAACAGTTCTACAAGTTTCACAAGATAATGACAATGAAGTGGAACTCTGGGACCATCACTGGTCAATGAACTCTGCTCATGTCTTTATGGTTAGAGAGACAGACTCAGTAATCTCCCAAGAGGAACGAGATCAATGGGAACAATACTGGACCATGGACTCTGCTGCGACAGAAGAATTCCTTGGACCTGAGAAGGAAGCGCAATCCGAGTTAGACAAACGAGTTTGGGAGCAATTCAACAAGTCCATCGAACGTCGAGAAGATGGATATTACGTGCGTCTACCATGGAAGGAACAACATCCAAATCTACCAGATAACCGAGCAATAGCGTATAAACGCCTTGTTAGAGTTTAGAACTCATTGAAGAAAGATGAACAGTTACTAGACCAATACAAATGGCATCTTTTAAGATCAGCTCAACAAGAATATTGTTGAAGCGGTTAACGAAAATAGCGCATTTTTTTTTTTTTTTTTTTTTTTTTTTTTTTTTTTTTTTTTTTTTTTTTTTTTTTTTTTTTTTTTTTTTTTTTTTTTTTTTTTTTTTTTTTTTTTTTTTTTTTTTTTTTTTTTTTTTTTTTTTTTTTTTTTTTTTTTAACGAGGAAGTCCAAGTACACTACATCCCTCATCAGCCAGTTATAACTCCCCAGAAAAGTACAACAAAGCTCCGTATCGTATTTGACGCATCAGCTCACTTCAAAGATAGTCCCTCCTTGAACGACGTTCTGCACAGAGGACCAGTAATGCTACCAATGATATATGGCTTACTCTTACGCTTTCGGATCGGCAAAATAGCACTAATTTCGGACGTGGAAAAGGCGTTCTTACAAGTTCGTCTACATGAAGTAGATAGGGACGCAACACGTTGTCTGTGGCTCAAGGATCATAAGCAACCTCCTTCAGTGGACAATATCCCAGACATTCTTTCGCTTTACCCGAGACTGAAATCCTCCCCTTTTCTTCTGGCAGGAACAACCCATTATCATCTTGACAGCACAAAGAAGAAGATATAGCTCAAAAGATCAAGGACAACCTCTACGTGGACAACGTACTCTTGACAAGCCGATTCTTATGAAGAAGCGCTGCAATTACTACCATAGCTCGAAGCAATATTCCACGAGCTGAAAATGAACTTGCGTGAGTTCACATCCAACGATTTGGCACTCATGAACTCGATACCGGATGTAGATAAAGCAAGTAGGCACATTCAGAAAATTCTTGGAATCGAGTGGAACTCCAAGAAGCCGATACGGCTAATGAGGCTCAAGTGGCTCAATGAAGGAGTCTTCACGCGACAATCACATAAGCTGGACTGTACAAGTGGCGATAGCCCAGCTGTTAAACGAAACCGCTATGGGCTGGTACAATCCCGCTCCTCCATAGATCAAAAATCTCCACAAACCTTTAGAAGGAATCAATATGAGTGGGATACCCCTCTACCCAATAAAGAAAAAGAAGAATGGAACAAAATCAGAAACGATATGATCGGATTTCACAAATCTATTCCAAGATATCTGACGCCAAAAATGAGCACAGTGATGCTTGTGATTTTCGCAGATGCTAGCACCACAGGAATAACTGCATGCGCCTATATGAGGCACTCCGGAACGATCCAGCTTCTAATGGCAAAATCAAAACTACCCTCAATCCATGGAAACACAACAATACCAAAGCTCGAAATGAACGCAATCACACTGGCAGCACGTCTCGCGAATGCTATCATAACCCAACTGAAGGGTGTGCTACATATAAGAGAAAGTTACATCCTATCGGATTCCGAAATTGCCTTGTGCTGGTTGAAAAGCTCTCCCAAACGAGAGTTAGGAGTTTTCATTCACCGCAGATTAATGGAAATAAGAAGGATTGTAGAACACCTAGCCAACGAACATTGCCTCATGCAATTCGGACACGTATCCACGGAAGATAACCCCGCTGACTGCGGAACACGAGGTCTGACAAAGAGCGAATTCAGTCACCATCACTGGTGGACAGGACCAAAGTGGCTACAGCACGAAGTGACCCATTGGCCCTTACGGGACACACTATTCGGATTTTTGTCTAAGGAAAGCCAAGAAAAGGAAGCGGAAACGAAATCGGATACAATCATAGCGGCTGAGGTGACGATTTACGATAATGCACACAAAGAAGGGTACACACATTTACCCAAGCAAAGCGGATTGTTGCATATGCCCTTCGTTTTATTCGATCAACAGTGACGAAAATCAATAGGATGGGTGGAAACAAAATCACGATCGGAATACCGCCTCTACCCTCCGGCATTCTGATAGACTACCTGTGCGGGAGCGAAATAGAATCCGCAGCGAAATTCATAATAAAAAACCACCAAGGACTCAATGTCACCAATGACATCAGAAAGGCGCTGAAAGACCTCAATATTCAGAAGGATAAGGAAGGAGTATATCGCTGTTAGCGGGCGCCTGGCAAAAGCAGACCAAATTATAAAATTCTCGACAAAGTACCCCATCTTATATTCAGGAAAAGCCATACTAGCCGAAAATCATTGTTCCGTCGAGGTACATGATACGAGGTCACAGCTGGTATTAATCCTCTGGCGGCGACGATGAGTCTAATCAGACAACAATTCTGGATATCACAACTTCGATCACAAGTCAAAGGGCTGAACAATCCACAGCCGGAAAGAACCTCCAACATCCAGATATCTATTAGAAGGGTGGGGAGTGTAGCAATAGCTACAATTATTTCATTTCTTTAGGCTTTCATTTCAACTGTTAACTTGTTTGTTGATAGGTAAAATGATCTGCTTCAGTAACGCGCTGTACAATGATTGATAAGTATCTTTGAGGGATAAGATAGAATATGGTATAAGAAGTGATGGCAAGCCGGTATGGTTCATTCGTTCGTTCATTCATTCAGACTACTTCGCGATACAAGGACTGAGGCGTCACGTCAATACCTGGACTTCATCCAAGGACAGGCATTCAATACATCCGGCAGTAGCAATAAAGCTTGTTCTCATTACGACTCGTCGTACACAGTCAACACAAAACCGCGTGGCAGCAAACACTATAGCCATCAAGAAATGGGAATTCGGCGACGCCTGTGATGTGTATTGTAAAAAAAAAGAAAACCATGGGAACCCTCTGAAGAGCGACTGCATGCAGAATCCTCCTAACTTTTGAACGTAAAACATGCGAGAAAGAGATGCTTGCTCAATTAAGGGACAGACGAGCATTTCGATGATCATCACGATTCTACAAATCTTGGGCATGAAAAAATTCTCCCTCCGTAAATAAGTTAACCCAGTAAGCTCTCAGACGGACTGAATGCGGTGCTTGTCTGTGAGGTCGGAATTGAAATCGTTGAATAACTTGAACAATCGTAAGCGTTCTCAAGAGACATAGTATATGGCTTCTTGGCCATATAATTAGCAGCTGGGCCTGTGCGGTTTTCGGTTTTTGTTTGGAGGTTAATAAATGAGGTTGTCAAACATGCTCGACTTCTTCGACCTGACGCTGCAGCTTGAGCACTTGAATATCCGTGTGACGCTGCAGCTTTAGCACTTGAATATCCGTGTGAAAAGAGAGTTCAGAAAATAGGGCGAGGAATTTACTGCAAAACGATAATAAAGACTCATGGCCACGTTTGCGTTGAGCAGTCAGCGTAGCGTAGTCAGCGCAGTGTAGGACTCTCTTTAAGATCTCAGTTCACACCTATCATGCCTGTCGGGGAGACTCACCTCCGGTGTTGCCTGACTTAATTGCTCTCTCACTAACTCCTGACCTTTCCTCTACTTGACGATTACATCATGATGACAGACTGATTAGTGCTGTTTTTTTAGCAAATTCAATAGAATTATGGAATACAGTGAAAAGTTTGAATAGCATGAAACAATCAAAGATGAGAAGCATGTTTAAAAGCGATTAAATGAAACACATAAATTAAGGCTACTAATTGTAGTATTAGTAACAAATCTAGCCGTTTTTCTACAATACTCTTCCACTTCGATTTGAGATGCGCCATTTCGAAGGCATACATCGAATCTGAAAGTAACAATCGAGGATCAGCTTTGCTAATTCCTTAATTATATGATGAGGTAAAAAAGGGATATTTCAAATTTACTCAGGTAAAATCAAAGAATTGGTGGGAACGGAGGAAAGGGAGTTCATGTTATCGTTCATGCTCTGAACACACAACAACGTCACAAACAACACTGGTAAAGTTTTGCGCTAATCAGCCCGCCTAAATACTGATTAGCGACGACCTTTATATTAGGTGTGAGGTTGATAAAAGAGATGCCTAACAGTTAAAGTACTGACGGTCATATTTAACGAATTAACCTCCCTTTAGAGGGGCATCAATAGAGTCATTGCAATTACAGCGAGTTCTTGGCGCAAAACACATTCAACCTTCAAGTAATTACAGAGCCTAGAAGTTCAAATCTTTTGGGATACCTTCTCATGATGAAAACAATAGAAATTTTCATTCAATACGTGGTCTTTTTTCCCATTTAAATATTGCAGTAATTTCTCGTTGTTTACGTCTGTATTTCAGTTGCTCTAAGTGGCTAAATGTGTTCTTCACATTTTAAATTTATGAAAACATCTTTTTTTGAGACATTTCCTACGTCTAATTTTATTTAAAATTGGCACTAAATAGGCTGTCATCATGATGTAATCGTCAAGTAGAGGAAAGGTCAGGAGTTAGTGAGAGGGCAATTAAATAAGTCAGGCAACACCGCAGGTGCGAAGTCTCGCCGACAGGCATGAATACGGCGTGAAGTGAGATGCTTTTAAGAACACCACACAGCGCCCAATTAAGTGAGGTCATGCCGAGCAAGCGGCCTCAGGGATGATGCCGCTAGGTGGTGGGTTACCTATCTTAACCGTATGCACTCAATACTGAAGGGGGCGGTCGTATGGCGTGGTTGGCAAGCATGTCCTAACCGTGTCTGGGACGCTGCTGACGCTTAATTGACACTGCCTGAGCCTGCACGTGACCGCTCCCTTGGACCGGAGAACTCGTCCACAAGCCACGCACCATACTGATTCGTATAATTGATCGACCTACAATGGTGAGACGTCTCCGTAAACGCCGAATTGCGTACTGATCGCTCAACTACGCGCATTCTCTACAGTCCGTTTTTGAGCGGGTTTTCGACTTCTTTGGCCTTACCAACTATTTTGAAACCACACTACTAATATTGTATATTGACCATTGCTTACTCATTGCCTTTCTGTACAAGTGCGGAGCTACTAAACCATTGGTGAGTTTTTTTTTGCAGTTGCTTAAAACTTGATTTCTATACTGTTTGCTTACTGGAAGAGCATAGTTTCATGACCATTTTGGGATCATGACACATTCTTCTTCTAAGTTCGCTCACAGTTATTTTTCCTTGTTAACGATCATCGAAGAGTTCCTAACAAGTGTTTTTTACCCCTTTGTACACATTAACAGCAGACTATTCAAAAAAAAATTTTATCACATTTAGCTTAAATACGTTTTTCCTGACTCATATCTCGACATATATACCAGAATTCTAATGTACCGATGTTATCCAAGCCCATTATATCCACGTGGGTTACCTAGCTATAGAGAGCGCTTACAGATTTTCAACCTGAAGTCTTTACTATATAGAAGGGTGTTTCATGACATATTGTTCTGCTTCAAGTTACTCAAAGGAGAACTAAGACTGAAGCCTAGTAAGTACTGGGTATTCAGGCCAAGCAGAGGTCGTTCCTCTTCACTGTCCATACAATGCCCGAAATTGAACAATAGCCATCGATCTAAGATATTTAACTCACTAATTTTCCGTGGAGCCAGATGGCTGCAGTCTCTGCCATCAGCCCTACAGAGAGGCGCCACATACAAGAGTGTTACAAAGGAAATGACGAGTTGAACAACTACTCGCTCACTCGGAGTTGAGGGATTTCTAATATTGGAAGGTGTGAAGAGCTTTTCCTGCGACATCTTTAAAAGTATTCGTGTGATGCCGTTGTGTTCATTTATTATCTGTTTGAATGTGGTTTGTTCTACTGATCCAGTTCGCGGAGGCAGCTTTATAAACGCACGCTTCCCGCGTGCATAGTAAAATAAATAAATAATAAATAAATATATCTACAATAATCTTCCAATGACCCAGTTACGACCTCAACTTCTTTTTCGGGATGAGTTACGGGAGACTTCGTGTCTCCTTTGGGCATATCAAATGAGACAGCGACGTCGCACACTCCCCTATGGCAGTAATTAGTGAGAAATGTTGCTCGTCAGCAGGGTCGACAGGCGAAATTGTCAGTGCCAACGGTTAGAAAGGGAGTAAAGCGGACTGAAGTCCAAGGAAAATTGTATCAGGAAAGCCCACCAGAATATTGAGGAATAATGCATCGTGAAGCTGTTCTGGTAACTTTTTTGTGCAAACGTGTAAAAAAAAACAGTTGTTAGGAACTCTTCAATGATCGTGAACAAGGAAAAATAACTGTGAGCGAACTGAGAAGAAGAATGTGTCATGATCCCAAAATGGTCATGAAACTAATAGCCTCCAGTAAGCAAACAGTATAGAAATCAACTTTTAAGCAACTGTAAAAAAACTCACCACTGGTTTAGTAGCTCCGCAGTTGTACAGAAATGCATTGAATAATCGATAGCCGTTTATAGCTGTAGTTATGTAATGGCTGGTAGGCGAAAAAAAGTCGAAACTCCGCTCAAAAACGGAAGAGAATGCGTAGTTGAGCGATCAGTACGCAATTCGGCGTTTACGGAGGCGTCTCACCATTGTAGGTCGATCAATTATACGAATCAGTATGGTGCGTGGCTTGTGGACGAGTTCTCCGGTCCTAGGGAGCGGCTGAAGCAGCGGCGTCAGGGTAGTGTCAAGTTAAGCGTCCGAGGCAGCGTCCGCAGTCACGGTAGGACAGCTGCAGCCACCCAATCCGATCGCCAGACACCCCAACTAAAGGTGCTCACGCCGCTGACGTATTCTTCACATTAAGCTCTTATCACTTGCAACCTGCGATTGCAATTTGCTGGGTCTAGCTCGTTACGCCAGGTCTTCTTTGCCATGAAACGTTGCCTCTGCAGTAGGTCTTCTGATTGAAATTGATGAATATCTCCGAAGGGGATACTCCACGATTTATAGTCTTCAACGAGGCAAAATCCTGCGTAGCAGTGAGGTAGTTTTGAAAAAAAACTGAAAAATATTTGAAAACAACAAATTTTGCTGCAACCCTACATAGAGCGGAATGTGGCAGGCAATAGTTGAGAAGGTTTCCATCTTTAGAGCCAGTTTGTACACTTAGGTATCTCAAACTGAAGAGATTCAAATTCGTGACGTATCTCAGATACTGACACTGCAGTGCTTGCCATTGCACAGCAGAAATTCTAATGTACAAACAATTCAATGCGCATTCGCCTGGAAAAATTATAATTTATTCGCCTGTAGTCAAGCTCAGTATCAAAAAGATAAGTCCGTTTGGGAAAAGCTAGAAAAAGAGTCTCCCCATCCGTATTTTAATACAGGACAGTGCTTTCATGTTTACTAATGGGAAGTGCCTTCTGGTGACTTGTTTCCCGGTGGTAGTTTTTGTGACACCGCGACGTCCCGGCTCCGCCGCTTGCACATAATTCAGCTCCTTAGCGTAACTTTGATGCATAAATAATCAAGACTGAGATTCATGAATTGAAGGCAATATCCTGTAGTGCTCGATGAGCCAAGTGTACTGTGTGGGATTCGCTATCTGAAGCCCAAATTTGGGAAGAATGCAGTAGTCAACGAAAAGGATGATCGCGTTCCCCAGC